GGCTCCAGGCATTCCAGCTGCTCCTGGACAGCTTCCAGGGCTTGGAGCTCCTGCGCCAGCATCCCCTGCCCGGCGGGAAGCGCTGGCTCGTCTGGCTCAAGCTCGACTGTGGGAATGGAAGGGGTAGGTGACCTGCCAAATCCCGCCAGAGCTTGTGGGGTCTGCAGAGATGGAGCATCAGGTGTCTTCTCCCAAGGGTGTTTTCATCCTGGAGGGTGGGATGCCCTGTGTGTCCCTCAGAAATAGCAGCTCAGCCAGGATGGGGCAGCTAAGACCTTCACAAAAGTCATTCTTTGAGGATGCTTCATGGGGAGAGGTCCCCATGTCTCTTCAACACCCCAGATCCATCATCTCAACCAGGATGGGGCATGTAAGACCCTGCAAAAGTCATTCTTTGAGGGTGCTCCATAGAGAAGGGATCCCCATATGCCTCCAAGCCCTCAAATCCACCACCTCAACCAGGACAGGATGTCTAAGATCCCCAAAATCATTCTTCCAGTCCCAAACCCCCATGATGAGACCTTTAAGCCCTTCCAACCCCCTTTCAACCTCCACAGGGATGACATCCCACATGTCCCCTCACCCCCAACCCTTCATCCTCACCATCTCACCCGACATGGGGCACCACGAGCCACCTCACTCACCCTTGTGCCCCCCTGGCAGCTGGTGTGTGTCCCACGGACCCCAAGGCCATGGCCCTGGCCCGTGCCATCGCCCAGGAGTCCCCGGACGTGGTGACACTGGTGGGGATCTATGCCCACTGCGGGAACACCTACAGCTGTCGTGACGTTTCAGCCATCCAAGCCATCGCCAGGGCCACCACTGCCGCTGTCCTCGAATTTGTCACCACGTGAGTGGCCCTGACACAGGGCTGGATAGGGTTAAAGGGATTTTGGGAGCCACTGTCGGGTAGTGGCATGTGCCCATCCCCTCCCCTGGTTGTAAATGTAAATCACCTCTGTAAAGGAGGTCTTCAAAGCCCCCTCGGGGGCAGGAGGAGTATGTTGGCAGCTCAGGTCACCTTTGATGTGGCTTTGGTGGCCGTTTGTGACCTGTGGCATTGTCCCCTCCCTCCTCCTTGTCACCCTTTTATCCCAGCAGGGATTCACATCCTGAAGGGAATTGTTGCCGGATGGTTCCTGCTGCGGGAGGAAGGATAGCCTGGGGGGGTCCCCTGGGATCTCCATCCCCCATGCAGGGGGATGTCATCCCCTGGGGACACATCCTGGGGGTCCCCCTCCTACCCCAGCCTGTTGTGGCACGTGTTTGTGGAGGGGAAACTGAGGCACGGGAGGGAAACTTGCTGCCCCCCTTGCCACCAATCCCAAATATGGGGGCTGCTCTGGCACATCTGGGGATCCAGGAACAGCTAGGAGGGTTCCCAGGCACATCTGAGAGTGCTGTGACACATTAGAGGGGGTCCCTGGAACATCTGGGGATGCTTTAGCACATCTGGGAAGATCTCCAGCTCATAAGGGTGGGTGTCAGGCACATCTGGGAGGGTCTTCAGCACTTCTGGGGGTTCCTTGGCACATCTGGAGGAAATTTATGGAACAGCTGGGGGTGCTCTGGTACATCTGAGAGGAGTCCCAGGCACACCTGGGGAGTGTTCTGGCAGGTCTGGATGAGTTCCAGGCACATCTGGATGAATCTCTGGCACAACTGGGCTTTCCCAGGCACATATGGCAGCAAAACCTCACATCTGGGGGACATCTCTAGCACATCTTGGGGATATATTGCATATCTGGGGGCTTCCAGAACCATCTTATTGGGTCTGCAGTGCATCTAGGGGGTGCTCTGATACATCTAGCAGTGCCTTGAAACATCTGGGGGCGATGTCCAACTCATCTGAATGGATCTCTGGCACATCTGGGGATGCTTGGGCACGTCTGGGAGTGGTCCTGGGCACATCAGGAGAGTTGCTCTGGCACATCTAGGGACACACACACCACCATGAATCTTTGAGGGGACTCCCTTGGATCTGTGGGCTCTCAGGCACATCTGGATGGCATCTGGGCATATCTGTTCAATTCCCAAATACATCTTAGGATTCTCCTGGCATACTGGGGGGCTCTGCCACATCTGGGTGACTTCCTTGAGTGTTTGGGGGGCTCCCTGGCACAGCTGGGTCTCCCTGAGGTATTGCCACCTGTGGTACTGCTCTTGTGGTACCCAAGGGTGATGGACCCACCTCTGGTCCTTCTCCCCTGGCACGTGGGGGTGATGTCCCCTCCTGGCCATGCTCTGGCCACTCAGAGGGTCCCCCATGTGCCACCAGGCTGCGGCAGGCAGGGATCTCATGTCCCCAGGCCACCATTGGCTCCACACCGTCCTGCAGCCACCCAGTGCCAGAGATGTCCCAACTCACTGAGGTTCACCCAGGCAACTATCTCTTCTATGGTGAGTGGGATGGGAGCCCCCACTCCCACCCCAACATGTGTGAACCCCCAAGGGTGGGACACACCTCAAACCAAGCTGAGCACCCTCTATTCTCTGACAGACCTCCAGCAGACCCTGCTGGGCTCATGCCAGCCAGAGGAGGTGGCCATCCGTGTCCTCACCAGGGTCATTGGGCACTACCCCCACCGCAAGCAGCTGCTGGTGGACTGTGGGTGGTCAGCACTAAGCCTCCATGGCCGTGACCAGGGGCCCATGGGCTGTGCTGCCATCGAGGGACATCCTCAGCTCAGGTGAGCCCCGTGGGGTGGTGGGTGGGTGGGAGGACACACATGGATGGGGATGTGATGATGTGTGCTGGTGGGGCTGACTCAGGAGCATGGGCAGGTGGAAGCTGTAGATGGAGATTTGGAGTTTGAGCGGTTCCCAGTGGGAAGTATTTTGGCTCTCATCCCATTCCATGTGAGTATCCATCCTGCTGTGTCCCACAATGCAGGGTCATGCATGGCTGAATGTCTTTCCCCCTCCAGGCCTGTGCCACTGCTGCCATGCACCCTGTCTACTACGTCCACGCTGGGGGGAAGGTGGTGGAGCTCTGGCATCCTGTCCGTGGCTGGTAGGGAGGAGAGGGGAGGCCACATGGAAACCCCACAGCCACACTGAGACCTGCACCCACACCATGACCCTGCACCCAGGAGACCCTGTGGCTTCACCAAAACCTGGCACCCAGGAGACCCTGCTCACACAAGACCCTGCACCCTCACCTGTAAATGCACTGAGACCCTGCAGCCAGGACACTGCACACTCACACCAAGACCCTGCACCCACACTGAGACCCTGTAATACATCAAAACTCTGCACCCTAGGCAAGACCTCACACCCACACCAAGACCCTGCACTCACGAGACCCTGCACCCATGAGACCCCCCACCCCCACCAAGACCTCACACCCTCACCAAAACTCCACACCCACACTGAGACCCTGCACCCACACCACGAACCTGCACCCATGAGACCCCACACCCAGGAGACCCTGCACCCTCACCATGACTCTGCATCCCCACGCCAACAGTGGGATCACACACCCTACGAGACCCTGCACCCACACCAATCCCATGTACCCATGACAGCATCCTGTACCCACACCTGAACCGTGGACCCATGGCAGCACCCTGCACCCACCATGCTGGGGTGCTGCGCCCACGCCAGGGTCCATGCTCTTGTAAACCTGCACCCCTGTTGGGGTCCCACACCCATGTCAGGGTGATGCATCCACATCAAAGCCCCGCACCCATGCCGAGGTCCCTCATCCTCGTGGGATGCTGCACCCACTCCAAGTCCCTACACCCATGCCAGGATGCTGCACCCCAGACGAGACCCTGTGCCCACCCCAGGGTGCTGTGCACACACCGGGGATCAATAAAGCTGTTTCTCTCGCCTCCAGACACTTTATTCCCCTAGGCCGGGCCGCGGGGAGGTACCCTCGGTCCCGGTTCGGAGCGGTGCCGTACCTGTGCGGAGCGAGCGGGACTCGAACCCGTGGACCCGGGGGCG